AGTAGTTGGTGCTTTTTCTAGATAAATCTCTTGTAAAGTCTGTTCACAATGATGCATTTCCAGGAACAGTCTTAAAGTCAGTTTTCATTTCATTAAATACAGCTATTCCATCAGTGCTGCAGTTGATAGTTTTCTGTCAGTTGGAAAAGGCATGTTGAAGGCAAAAACAAGGAGGAATGTCTGATGCAAGCTTTGTAAGAGCTGTCTTCTTAAAATGTAAGAGATATTGACCTCCCAGAATAATTGTTTGAACACTGCAGTTATTACATGAAGTAAACTCTGTTATATTATTTCACACTAATTGACAGGCTACTTATTAGTTATTTTAGTCATTTGTATTCCTTTTTCTTGTATTGTGTAAGTTATACATTGCTCTTACTTTGAATATTATAAAGGAAAAATAAAAGTAGCTCCTTTAATTGCTATTCTAAAACTTTTCAATGTATAATGCATTTTTTTTTTGTCTTGAGTTCAATGCTTGTAATTTAGTTCTGTATACAGTGCATGTTTTATATACAGAACACAGGTATGTATTTGAAAAATAATGAGTAAGGAGTCATTACTCATTAGAGTTTTAAATAAGTAGCATTTTGGGAAAGGACACTTATCATTTTTAGCAGGTAACATAATTACTTTTTTCTAGTACAGTGTCCAACACTGGCTTTATATCATTTAACAATACAACTATACATATATCTTTTCTTGGAAAGAGCTGTGACAAGTCAGTCTAGCCATAATTTCTTCTTGGCAGCACAGCACTGTCAAGTGATCAAGAATTTATTATAAGCTAAAATATAAGTGCTGAATATGTCACCTACAGAATGTAAAAAGCTGATAATTGTGATGTCTAATTGTTTCTTTGTCTCTTTGTTTATACTCACTGTTATGATTATTTGTTTCAAAGACAAGGAATTTTTTCATATTCTCACCATATGTTAACAGTACAACTGCATCACGATATACACGTGAGGATGCTAATTTCCATGTGTTTAGTCATATGAAGTATGCTAAAGGCAATGACCACAAACATACTTTAATCAGAATTGAAGATTCAGATGAAGTAATCTAGAAATGGATCAACTATGAGTATCTTTGGTCACTGGAAAAAAAACAAGTGCAACATCGCAATCTATATACATGTCCCATAAGGCTAAACATTATCTCAGCTCTACCATTTTGATACATCTTTTCTAGATATTAAGCTGTATTGGCATTTGCTGAATTGTAATAAAGAATCTGTATGTGACAGCAAAAATTCTTTCCCAGAGATTACTGAATCATTAAATGACATATCAATTTGTTAAAATATATATCAGGAAATAGTTTTGCTCTCTTTCAACATTAACACAGAGTTACTGTATAATATTCTAAGCTATATATATATAAGAAAGTAACAAATGTCTGTAAATCAAACAATGTACAGAAACCACTCCAATTGAAGCTACAACTCTCAAATACTGAAAAAGAGCAACTTTTTTTAAGCCAGTTTCATTTCAAACCAGGAATCTAGAAAATATTCATAGAAGGCAAGTAGCGAGGCTGGAGGAAGACACATACTGATACATACAAAGCTTTCTGAAGAATCTGAATAATGCCATAAACTTAGCCCTTATTGAAACAGAACACAATTTATGGGTATGAGAAAATGTAGTAATTCCTGTAGTGTACTAGTCAAATGAATGTGATACATGGGTACTTTTGTGATTATTTATTAGTTATTTATCCAAATAATCAATGGTCATAATTAAGTAACTAACAGTTTTATATCAATACTATTACACAGTCATTTAAGAGATCTGCAAACTGCGGTTGTTATATTTTATCAAGTTAATCAACTGCACTATTACTAAAAACCTACACAAATGCACACATGATCATAAAACTAGAATTTGGAATTAAGTAAGGAAAATTATATTTTCTTGCTCTTCTACCTGTATTTTTTAGTAATATATAATACTAAATGTTGGATTTACAAGACTGTTCAGTTTAAGAGTTATTATTTAGTTGATCTAGTGATTTAATTATTATTTAGTGTGAAAATTTAATTATTTCAGAAGTGATATTTATGACAAATTTTGTTACGTAACACTGTATGAGTTGTACATTATGTATGAAGTTTAATTGTTGTACTAGACTTTTGTAATACTCTTGACATTATCTTATTCGAAGCTTCTACGTGTTTCTCATTATGTGAATATTGTCGTTATTAGAGGGCTAGATATTTCTAGATTTTTCTGTCATATGTTATAGATACATGCAGACACAGAGTACAAAGAAGCAGTTAAAGTAAGTTCGTGAAAGTGTGATTGTTAGTTTAGTCATAATGGGCAATATCTTCACATTTTAACAGAGATAAAGGAGTAGAATTATACATGGACTTTCCTCTATGTTAAAATATTTTTATTTGTGAGCTTTCAGCCCTCTTACTGGAACCTTCATCAGGAAACAATGTACAAAAGAGTATAACTGGCAAGTCCAAGAATAACCACTTAAAGTCGAAACCAGTGGTGGCCGACCAGAAAGTGGATACCACCAAAGGTGACAAGAACTCAACAGATAAAAAAAGAGAAGAGATGCTATATTTGTTATAAAATGGGGCACACTGCAAAGGAGTGCAAATCCATCACCAACAAGCAACAACAGATATATCAACATAACACAGCTGGAGCTCCCTACAAAGATGGTGTTGGCAAAAAACAAGAAATGAGTGACTGTCACCATGGATACTGCTGCCAGAAGAAACAGAATGTTATTTCCATGATTAATAAGTGTACGTCTGATGGTCAGCTGAAGTTAGCAAATGGATCAACAGTGCCAGTTGTGATCGGAGCATGCGACAAACATCGAGAAGTGCCAACAAACCACAACATGCCAGTAGGTGAAGTCTATGTTGGGGACAAGAAATTGAATGTCCTATGAAACCCAGTAGTGAGAACCAGTCAAGTATCTGATTATCAGATGATGGGCAAGGCATGTCTGTATGTGTTAATTCACAGTGAGAAAGTTTCCCATAGCAAATATATAGGTGGATATTCCATATTACATGGGAGACCTTAAAGCCATGTGCATAAAGACACCAATCTATGACTTGATGACTGGAAATATACCAGGTAGTAGGAGTTTGGAGGAACTAGACAGAAAGAAGATTGATGAGGCATCTGCAGCCATCACAAGAGCTCAAGGGAAGAAAAGCAAGCAAGATATCAAGCCACTTAAAGTCTCCAAATGTGACATCCGAAATGTAGGTTCATGGGAGCTAAAGGAAGCACAGAAGAAAGACCTGTCACTGCAGAAACTTTGGGACAGTGCCTGAGAGAAAGTGAAGCTCAAAACAAAGACGAAAGAGACTTACAAAATAGAGGACCAGAAAGAAGTACTGTAACAGACCTATCAAAGCAGATCTACTGGGGAAGCTAAACACATAAAAGGCAGTCAGAAGTGCTTCTATGACAAGAAAGCCAAGGATTGACATTTCAAGGTCAGACAGAAGGTCTTGGTTCTGCTACCTACAGACAAAAACAAACTCACACTGCAGTGGAAAGGACATTTTGAAGTACAGGAAGTTATCAACAGAATGTACTATAAAGTGAAAGTAGATGGTAAGACAAAGATCTACCATGCATATCTGTTGAAGAGGTACTTTGAGATGGAAGAAGACATAACAGGTACAGCTATTGAGGTACAGATAGACATGGCAGGTGTGGCTGTCATACATGCAGAATCTGAAGACAATGACTTTGTGCTAGAAGATGAAAACCCACTAGACATAAGACCACTGCATGGAGATGAGACATGCAAAGATGCCAATATCAGTGAAGAACTGGTTGGCAAGCAGAAGAAAGAGGTACAAGATCTACTGTGCCAGTATACAGATAGATTAAGCAGCAAGACAGACCTCAGGCAACAACACAAGATCAAGACAAAGACAATGGATCCTGTCAAGGTGAAGCCCTACCAGATGCTCTATGAGAAGAGACACCAAGCAAGGGAACCACAAATGTTTGTGCAGACTATACGAGGAGACTTAGTGTATGAACTAAGAACAGTCTTTGTTTATAGTATAAAAAATATTGTAAATATTTTTCTTGAAGAGGGTCTTATTGTTGGATATACAAGACTGTTCAGTTTAAGAGTTATTATTTAGTTTATTTAGTAATTTAATATATAATTATTATTTAGTTTTCATAACAAGATGTTAACAGTTAATTATTTTAGAAGTGATAGTTATTACAAATTTTGTTACCTAACTCTGTACGAGTTGTACATTGTGTATGCAGTTTAACTGTTGTACTAGGCTTTTGCAATACAGTTGACATCACCTTACTCAAAGCTTCTAGGTTTTTCTCATTATGTGGATATTGTTGTCACTAGAGGGCTAGATATTTCTATATTTTTCTGTCATGAGTTATAAATATGTGCAGATACAGAGTGCAAAGGGGAAGTTAAAGTAAGTTAGTGAAAGTGAAGTTAGATTGTGTGATTGTTAGTTTAGCTGAAACATGCAATATCTAAAGTGAGTTTCACAGTTTAACAGAGATAAAGGAGAATGATTTGTTTTGTGAAAGGGTGTTCTAAAGTAATTTAACCCACCTGTGTAGACAATTATCTAAAATTCTGGATATAACTGTGGTAACCCATGGGGTAACATAAATGAATTTATTGCAGATTGTATAGTAAGAAACATAGTAGAGAAAAATAATTAATCTTTTCAATTGGGTTCTAAAGTAATTGAACTTGCCTGTGTGAACTTTTGATAAGAAAAGAGAATTATTTAGAGTTTTAGCTACAACTGTGATATCTTATAGTGTAAAGAATTTTTGTACGTATGTTTGACTTGTTTTGAACATATTATTTTAAAACAAGTGGATTGTGTGCTGTCCATTTATTGTTCGAATTTATCATCAACAAGTCACAGACACCTACTGTAAAGTCATATATGTTGTCAGCAAGTGATTGTTTGTCTAAAGTACAAGAGTACCCAGATCACATTGATAGTTTACCTCTGGTAAATGGGGTAAAACCTTTTCTGCATAACTGGAAGAATTAGATGAGAGGCTAAGAATATCTTCAACCTGCTCCTTCTTTTTACATCCCTAGAAAAGACTGTGTATTAACATTAAGTAAAAAGAAGACTAAACTCAGTGAATAATTAATCAGTGGTATTAGAAATTCTCACACATTTTTTTCAAACGAGTCAACAAAAAATATTAGTTTTAAATTTACATAAGTAAATATGTTCTATAGCAAGCAGACACCTGTACACCTCAGATGTTCAAGTAGCAGTTTTATATTCACTCAGAAAGACTAAAAATCACATAAAATTCTTTTTGGCTTGAATAAATCATCCATATGCATAAAAAACTATGCTTCTGAATATTTCAAGGGTCAACTCTTATGAAAACAAAACTGAAACTTGTGTATTAGCCAATATCAAATGGTAGTTATATTTACGATTTAGTATTTATATAAAAAAAATGTTTTCAATCAATAATGTCATCAAATAAAATAAAATGTAAATTTTGGTTTTAAAAGATAACACACCTAGAAGGCTTATAACAAAAAAAAATGTTAAAAATTGTAACTTCATAAAGATGTTGATCACACCAACTACACACTAATACCAACAGAAACTGAATTATTCTCACTTGTTGGGAAACTTCATTAACATAATCTTGATCTATGGAGAATACACAGTGTGAAGACATTTCATTCACAGGGTTCTCAACATCTGTTGTATTGTAACCATCACAAACGGTGAACTCTACTGAATCTCCTACATTGCTTAAGGCAAGAACAGCCTCTTGATAAGAAGAGCCCAGCAATGACACTCCATTTACCTGACAAAAAAACAAAACAAACAGAAAACTTCATATACACTTAAGAAAGTTGTATGTTTATAATCAATTCCTTTTTAAATAAAAAGATAATGAAATTATAATATTTTACATAAGAAATAAAGCTACTTGATTATGGAGACACTTGTCCTTAGTAAGACTGATATAAAATTTTAGGAATGGTAGTAAAATACATTATTATTTGTATTACAAAAGTGGATAGCTTTTACTATTATACACACACACACACACACACAAATATGTAGAAAAATGGAACAGTCCAGTTTATAGAATACTTTAATTTCTAGTAATAACCTAAATAATACAGATAAATAAAAATTATCATATCTTCTCACAATAAAAGTAAAATTATGATTTGGTTATTTATATTATGACTTTTGTGCTGGGCTGGATTAAGGATCTGAGGGCCCCACAGATCCTTAATCCAGCCCTGCAGAAATGTCATAATGTAAACGCCCTCAGAACTGAACTTCATAAATAAGTCAAATACAGTTCAATACTGTTTACTAACAATAGTCTGGGCGTTACATATGGAATTTGCCAACGTTCATAATAATACTCACATATTAATAACACAGGGATCGGGTAACATGTAATTAAAATTTAATATTCAAAATTTACACATAAAACAAACACTGAAAAAACATCTTACACAATCTTCTT